CTGCTGTTTCGTTTTAGAAACAGATGAATTTCCTCTTCACCCTCCTTAACAAGTCTAACAGTTTCGGCACCCCTTACAAGCCTTCTCAGGAGGTGACAGGCATGCCCAACATCTTTTATTTTTTGCAGTGGTGCACATTCAGGACACTCTGTGCTCATTTCAGACAGATAAACATTTGGAGTATAGGCTTCACTTCGAGTTACAAGTATGTTTCCCCATCTTTTAAACTTACTTTGCAAAGTAACCTAGTTATCTTCTCTGTTAAATAATCAGTGTTGGGGTACCTGATAACCCTAGGTGTTAACAAGGTGGAGGAAATACTTAAGGCATTACACAAAGAGATGTACCTAGGAAGATTTTAACTAAACGCTCCCCCAAATCCTGACACTGAATACATCAGGCTGAAGAAGATTTAAGCCTTATCACCTTTATCTTATTCTGTACTGACAAAGTGCTATCATAACAAATGATCTTGTAAAAGCTAGAACTGTATTCTATGATTATAAAGGTCTTTGCAATTTTCTGGTATCCACAATAGGAATTCTCCAACTGGAGCCATGCAGCCTGCAAACTGCCTGGAGAGCTTGCTGGGTCCCCGACTTGCCACTTCCCATTTTCAAGCAGTGAACTGCACTAACAGAAATGAAGGTATTTAATACTTTCCTAATACTGCCTTCGAACGCAGGAAACTGCTGTAAACTTTCCAGGAATTATATTCTCTTGGCAATAAAAGAAGGTGGTCTGCCTAACAGTAATTGTGATGGTAGGTATTAACAAAATTATTTTGCTGCTCAGAAAAGCCCAATAACCGGCAAATCAAAGGAAGTATTTCCTCTTCCATGGGCAGCCCAGAAGTCAACATCATAGAGTCATTCATACTTGCTACGCCTTTTCCTATGTACTTAAAACGTTACAACTGAAGAATTTTCCTGCCTTGAATATCACTCATGACTACCAATCTTGGGAGTCTTAGAAAGAAAACAGTGTGGTTTCAAACACTGCACTGTACACGCACAAACAACAGCCAAGCATTTCCAGTTCCCATTTTTCAGATGAGAAGATACAGTGATGCTAACGACTTATCTGACATACAGGATTAGCAACAAAAGAACAGAGAGCGTGCCTCCAAACTACAAGGTCTGGCAGTGGGGATACACCATACTCTCAACTCCCTCCATCTGCCACACATTCAGCATGAGCTGTACCAGAGCAACCATCTGAGACCCACTGATCAGTCCAGCATCTGCCATCCTGACTCCAGCTGAAGCTTTACTGACCAATAGCTGTGTTGAAAATGCAGCTTCAGAGTCACAGCAAGGAAAGTGCAAGTACCAGAATCTGATCTTTAGGCGAACGGATGCTCCTTTTAATACTGGCTGCCTCGTGTCTTATAGCGCAAGCACATCCATGCACAATGCTATTCTTTTTACGATGCCAACGTTAACTCTAAATATTCAGGGTACGCTGGCGCACACATCTTTATATGTGAGAGTGAGCGATGACAAACTAGACACATGACTGCGGATGGCCTTTCAGAGTTAATCCTGACTTGACTCAGGAGCTAGCCCCAAGTTTGAAAACAAGATGCCAGCAACATATTTATCTTTGTTGTTTGTCCAGCATTAGCAAGACATGCTTCTAGATACATAAACTGCAACCTAGCGAGTATCTTTTGCATTCAAAAAATGGTTGCGTAAGAGGCTGCAGGTTTTTTGACTTACCAGGAGATGGCGGCTGAATCTTAGGTTGTTTCTTAGTATCTCCAGTGCTGAAGACTTCTGGAGGGGGCTCCTCCCCTCGCTCAATCTTGCACTCGAAGGCAAACAGGTACTGAATGTATTGTTTTTTCAGGGAGCTGGCTGCGCTGCTCGAAGTGCCAACGTTCAAGGTGGTTGCCAGCTCACGCCACTTCTTGTTTTTATTAACCTAGCAAAATAAATGGCAGAATCATTGGTTTGCAGCAAAGTGGTTTGTTTAAGTCAGGAGACAAAAAAGGGGGGAAAAAAAAAAGCAAAAAAAAAAAGCAAAAAAGCACTTAATGTCTTGGTTTACTTTTTTTATTTTCCTCTTTTAACTAATGCTCATTACTCCTACACTCAGTAATGCATAGACAGCATTTACAGTTATAAAACCATTAAGGAACCTGCCGAGAGCTACATAAAAAGCTTTGCTTGTGGAAAGTCTTCTGCATGGCGCATCTTTTAAATGCCTTGCACTCTTCCAGGGCCTATGCTCTTCAGTTAGCAATCCATCTCCAAGCAAATGCACGCTCATTCTCCCTCTCTCCGACACCCACCCACACCCACCCCATTCTAATTAAAAAGCAGCTTCTAAAAACTAATTTAGAAAGCAATAACAGCGTTATTCTGCAATTTAAGTGTTTGAGCATTGATATGAAAAATACATTTTTCTCCAAAATAGCCACCAGCTGTCAAACAGTTCAGCTTGTAATTCCTGCTTCAAGTCCTTTCACTTCAGGGCGTCTTGCAGGGACAGATCAATGATCCTTTGGCTAGATGAGAGGCAGAGTGAAGCGAGGCCCCTTAATTAATTAAGGCAGACTTCAAACACACAGGGCTAGGCCAGCAATGCTCTGTATTACAGCGTGGACTGCGCAACTCCGCTGTGAGTCTTGTTTGCAGTGTAAGGCTGAGAGTATTGAAAGACTCTGTTCATGAGTTCCTCAAACACAGCTGATCTGTAATAGCAGCAAAGTTCATTTGTCATCCTGGATGATGCCACTGGCTCGCTCAGCTGTCCCACTCACAGCAGCCGGTATTTTTGTTGCAATACCTGATGCCCCAGAGTTCATTCAACCACTTGTGCAATTGCTAGGTATGATCCAAGGAGGGGAGGCAGTGCTGAAATAAATGGGCTTTAAATGTCTGTGCATCTCAGCTTTTGTTGGGGAAGAGTCCTGATTCTTACGTGCCACGAAGACTGCTACTTGCCCTGCGGCCTGAGATTTTAATGACTTCAACTTAACTCGTATAGCTACAAAGGTTATCATTAGCCATACTGTTCCTAAGCCTGTGTGCCAGCAAAGGAAACATTTCTTACGTTTCTCTCAGTGTTTAATAACACCGTAACTGCTGCCAGTCAGCAAAGATCTTTTGGGGATAGCATTAACAGCAAGCAGGCTGGCATGGAAGTGTTTTTATTTCTCTGGTACATCCCGCAAGAACCCAGGAGTTAAAAGAGACGAGATTTTAATAAACTGCCCCTGCTGAGGCTTGAAATCCAGCTACACAGCTCTTTGTGCCTACTGACTTACAGCTAAGTGGTGCGTAATGAACACATTGCATAATGCAAACGGAAACATTCGTGCCTAAATGCCCACTGTATTGGCATTTGAAAGAAGACTGCCAACAGCTGGTCTGTTCACGTTGGGACCCCATCAGTTGCAGCTATTCAGACAGAGAATATGCACTGCTGCTGCACAGCTCCACTCCCTGTCACTCTCCGGGCAGAACCACAAGAGGTGGAGTGCAGCAGTTGGAGCAACAGCTTTTTAGGAGAGCATCACACAGATGCATTCAAATAAACCTCAGCAAGCAAAGCTCTGCACCTCTCAGTAGCCCCAAACAGATAAACATGGTGATCATTCATGTGGGCACACCAGCAAAACCAGGAGCCTTATTTTCAGTGTCAATTTTTACCAGTACTGAAGCACGCACGTTTGTAACCCGAGCTCTTTCAAAAATCAGTCTAAGTGAACAGCATCTATTCTTTGGCAATGCATAATGTCTGTCACTGCAAATCAACACTGAGTGTCCCAAAATAAAATAAATTTCCATAATAAGCAAATACGAATGACTCTCTAGAATATCCCATCTGCCCCCCATCTTGCTTAATTTTTGATGCTGAGAGTCATACTACGGGCACAATCACGCTGTATGAGGCAGAGCAGCTGCATGATCCGATTTACCTGTAATAAACTTTCTGAGCTAAAAGTAATCAAATCTTTATGGTGCTGGGGGGCATGAGCTGATCACTAAAAATGTCAGGATAACATCTCTTACCCGTATACAGCATTTAACAACTGGCAAGGTGAACTATATTAGGTTTCTCCACCATTCTTTAGTAACAGGAATAGCTAAAATCTTTGGACTTGAAGGGCCAATGATCTAATTCAGTAGCCAAATCCTATGTTGTTAGGTGTAGTATTCAAAACAGCATTGAAAATGGTACTAATTGATGTTGGACGTTTCTTTCTTGAACTAACCACATACATTATTAAAATGTGCTCTCTTCCTGAGGATCTAATTTGTTTGCCATATTTTTGAGTTCAGATTCTGTAATTAGTGTAAAATTGTATCTATTTAAATATTAAATATTATCTATTTTCTGTTAAATATTGCATATACATATTTATCTACATAGCTATGTGTAAGACCTCATCTTGCAAAGCACTGAACATCCACAAACGTCCTTAAATCCACGGAAATGATGGGTCTCAGCACTTCACAGTAGCTTCTAGCACCTAGCCAGAGGGATCCCCTAGATGCAAGGGATGCTTTGTAAAAGCATCAGGCAAGGACAGACGACTTTGAATACCAAATCTAAGGCTGCAAATACTGACCATTTTCTCCTACTTTCCCTTTTGATGGTGCCAGACAATGAAACATTTAGTTTTGCTCTGTGGTGGTCAGTCTTACAGAAGTCACAAGTAATTTCCAAACACCCCTTTGCAAAACTTCCAGTTAACTGGCGAGAACACAAACCAAAGCTTCTCTCTCACATCTCTGACTTTTTATTCTCAGCTCTTCCTGCTTTCGTATTCCTTCATCTCAATTAATTCACCTGTTCCTTTTAATCATTATGTTTGTAAGGCAACCTAAAATATCCTGTAAGCACTTTCCGTGCACTTTCCAAACACACGGAAAGCACAGTCCGTGTCTAAGAAACAAATGTACCATACAGAGACACTCAGAGATGAAAGGTTTGGGATGAAGGACTGTGTTTCAAGAATGTATCTGCCACTTCTCTGGACAAGATGAACTGATTTGTCCTCGAGGCGGTATCCCTATCTTGGAAGGACAGATTTAAAAATCTCCTTTTCCTTTCAGCACTGTCATGTGTTTCCTACTCGTAACTTTGATCCAATGGCCTTTTCCTCTTTTCTTCTCTTAGTGGCATTACTGGATTCCCCTGAACAGGTAACAATTTCATCTGCCTACAGCAATAATCAATTTTCATTCAAACTGTAGGGTTTTAGGGCAATTATGCAGCCCCAAATGAACTCCAGACAAATATTGAAGCACAAAACTCTATTTTCTTCAACAGTGTTGTCAGGGCTGAAAACATAATAGCCTAACCAGCAGGAAACACTCTAAAAACAAACGCATATCGCCTTTTCAAAAGGTTCAGTTTCAAGCACTTCTTCTCACCTGTGCTAAACCTCCAATCTCTTTGACGCAGACATAGAGCCTGAACAGGTCCAGAGGCTTCTTGCCCACAGCCGGCAGACTGGCCACAGGCGTGCCCCTCTCCTCCATGAACGTGAGGTACCGATCTACCCACATCTTGCGCTCCGGCTCGTTTCCTAGCTCATAGACTTTTGTGATCTTCTCTCCAGTTGTGGTAGAGGAACTTGATTTCTAAATTGCAAGAAGAAAAAAAGAGTTGGGGGAAGGGTGGGAGGGGGAGGGAAAAGAAAGTAAGAAACTCACAACATTGAAAAAGAGAAGATGTCAAACAAACTAAAGCTATCACACAACAGTCAGGAATGAAGGCTACTAGTTCAGGCACAAACAGTACATTCTGTCCATATATGGAAAATTCAGCTTTTTAAATAAAGGGCCCAAACTCCCCATTTTCATATTTATTTCACTGATCTGAACTTTGGATCCCAGAAGGCAAGTTTCTGATGTTGCCTCGTGTCATTTTACGAAGAGGTAGCTCTCACATAGTGCTTCTCATCCACTTATCTCAAAGTGCTTTGTAAGCAATAATTTTTGTAAAATTAAAACCAAGTTTGTCCCACACAAGTTTACATCATCCTAAAACCCTCTCCCTTTTGCCCCCAAAAAGGGCCTAGAAAACCTGCAAGTGTTCCTCCAGAACAAGAACTGCACAGAAGTAGCCTAAAGTGTGAATCATGGCAAACTAGTACACTGAGGAGCAGTACTCTCTTTAGAGAGTCACAAGTGGTTATGCTTTACTACCTCTTCACTCCACCGCTGGCCAAAAAGCAAGATGAGCAAGAGTGCCTACAGTACAAGGAGATTGGTGGCAATACTCTTTGTGAACTGCCAATTAGCTGCCTGAGCCAATAATGCTTGTGAATAGCTACTACTCTCCTCCCTCGAATGAGGACAGAAGATAGCCATCTCGCACGTCCTACATTGCAAAGAGAATGTGTATTATGACCTGGGGAAAACCAGGGATGCACCGGGATCAGAGCCGAACCACCATCAGGGAAAGCAAAAGAGGTGGAAGAGCAGAATTCTTTCTCACGTGGCAGAAGCGCAGGAGTGAACCCGTTTTCCTGCTGCTATTTGGGCTTTACAGCTAATGAAAGCTCGTGTTATCTTGATGCCCTCTTCTTCTCTTGTGGAGATGGCAGAAAGCACTGAGGCTGCTACACAAGCTCTAACTTCTCACCACATCTTTTCTGTGCAATACAACCCTGTGAGCTGGGCTCTGTGCCAAGAGTGGACGGACTACACCCTGTCCCAGCTGCCTCGGACCCGACAGCAGAGGGGCTGCTGCTGCTGCAGGAAGACCCTCCTGCTTGCAGAAGGTGAAGTGATTTGCTCAGCAGTGGAAGATGGGAGTGGTTCAGAATTAAACACAAGAGAGAAAGACTGATATAAAGCTTTGGGAGAGGAGCCAAATATATGAAGGGAAACATATCCCTTATGTCTGTATAGCAGAATCCTAAACTTGATTGTTCATTGCAGTAGACACTTCTTTAAACTCATCCAGTCAATCACTCTTTCCCTCCTTTGCCTTTTCCTTACTTTGAACAGGCGACAACACTACTTCGAAGTAAACGGGAACTTATTTCTAGCTGAACGTCTCTAAAGAAGACCCTAGCTGTACCTCATAGATGCTACAGAACCACCACTTCGTCCATGTCCCCACAGAGCACTGGTGAGGAGGCACTCAATGCCACGAAAGATGCAGTGGGGTAGCATCCAACTGCCAATGATTTTAAAAGCATTGCCACCATTCGTCTTGCATGTTAGCCTGGAAAATATGACAGGCTCTGTATCTCCCTCCAGCCATTAGCTGAAACTTGGCAACGCTGGAGGAGAGCCAGGAGAAAAGAGAAGTGAAGCCAAGGGGGGTGACCCAGCAGTTCCATGAGCCATTGCTGTTCTTTCCAGTGAGTGGATGTTCATTTCAATTAAATAAATAGCCTCCTGTAAAGTTTTCTGCCTTGCTTCCTGATACTGTAACTTCTTCGCAGTAGCCCTTCCTACAGACAGGTATTATCACCTTTCTTAGAAATGAGGTGCACTCCTGAATTGACTTGAGCCAGGTTCAGTTGTGTTACAACTCCTACTGAAGTCAGAGTCAAGGCTGAATTTGTTTTATTAAGACTAAGTGGCTGGCAGGAAAGTACTTTGACACGAGTCCTGCAGATTATGCAATGAAAGCACAAACTGGTTCTGTAATGGCAACCAGGTTACTCTAAGCATCACTTGCTATGTATCTGGGTGTTTAAGAAAATCAGTTTAACTCTTTTCAACAAATACACTTTGTCAAAGATTTTTTTTGGGGGGTGGGTGGAAAGAGGGAAGCAGGCAAGTCATGTTGCTACTAATTTGATTTTGTAGTGAGAACAGATATGTGATCACATAGGCTTGAACAGCTGAATAAACTGGAGCTACCCCTCCACCAACTGCAGTAGTTGACACCGATGATGCCACAGAACTCTAATAAAAATGAAGGTGGGAAATTTCAGCTTTTACCCAGCAAATTTTGTATGTGCTTATATTCAAACATATGAGGCAACAAAATAGTTTCTATTTCACTTTTATGATAGTTCACGATTAACAATGTTCAGATTTACCAGTTTTATGTTTTCATTTTCATATAGTAAGATTCTATTTTTCAAATCAGATTCAGAACAGAATGGAAACCAGTTAAGAATTTTTCATTCTGGGTTTTTCTACTATACGTCTCAAATGATGCTGCTTTCAGTAGTGTGGCAGCAAACTCTTAAAATGACAGTGTAATCTGAAAACTTTTCACAGCTTACAGAAGGTAAGAAGTGTTTCTTACTGTGTGAGCTTTCAGGTTGTCATGCTTTGTAAAATGGGTGCAATTTTCTTCTAAAATGAAATGTTAACTTTAGAAGAATGCACTGGAGGGAAGAATGCTATTCCTCAAGAGTAAAGATCTTTTTTTCTTCTCTATTTTTATAAATGTAAACATATAAAAATGACAGATGTGTGCAAGCTAGTCTACACACAAACAAACTTCAGTTCCACATGGGCAGGTTCAGCTGGAAGCCTGAATTTGCCTATAGGTAAATGTTAACCCTCAGAAAATAAGGGTTTATTACAAAATTATCCCATTAGCAGATTGTTAACTAAAATGAGCACATGCCAGGCAACGCTGGAAGAATACAGATCATGAACTTTTCTTCTGTTAAGTTTGTTGATAACTTTGCTGATAAAAGAACGCTGGTGCAAGCCTGTGGCACATACCTTGACCGATATAGTTGTATCCTACTCTGCCCTCAATCCCCAGCACTCTTCTACATGGTGCGACTGGCCACGTTTAAATGGGTGATTCAAAAAAACCACATCTAAATATGTGGAAACCAAAGCCAATCCTCAAATTTGTCAAACCCTATTTTCAATACACCTACCACCCATTAAAACTGTATTATACACAGACTCTTGTATGCCGAGTCTACAGAATCCTTCAGAGCAACACAAATTTCTGTAGGAGTTCTTTTCACATTAAGGCAGTGGGTAGTTGTTTCTGTACATATCTCTAAGCATCTATATTTATAGAGCTATCTACTGTTCACTTTCCCTAAATTTGCCAATATTACACTTATTACGTAGACCTATTTTACTACAGAACAGAGCGTACATACACAGGCAGCAAAACCTGCCAAGTCCAATCTCTGGAAGAGGCTTTTGCAGGACACAATCCTCTGTCAAGATTTCCTCCTGAAGGACTCTGCAGACCCCTCACAGCTAGCACCATGGTGATATGGTACTATTCAAGTGTATTCACTGTCATGTTCATGTGTACCTATGGACAGTGAACAGCATTTTATGGGGTTTTCATAACCTACTGCTTTATTCATGTTGCAGTGGCCCTGCATAGTTCACACCCATACTTGCAAATTCTCTTTTAAAGAATTTTAAAGCCACCTCGCCACTGTCAGGGATGCACACTATGTGCAAAATGAGCATAGCAGGAGTGTTCTTTTACCTAGGTACCCCAAGAGCCCTCAAGACATAATGTTCAACAATTCCTTCTCTGCATTGTCTCGTGCCTCACTTCCATATAAAACTGCTGAAAGAGAGGATCCACTTAGTAGGATCACAGGGATACTGTGAAGTGAATCACAGACCATTCACCCTTGCTTTTATCCTCTGCTGGAATGAAGAAGTTGTAGCACATGAAGCAGCTTTGCGATTTAATGGACAAATTCAGGCTGTTTTCAAGTGTAATGAAACGCCTGCAATCAATCGTTCCAGTCTATGTCAGGCTGCTGCTGAAGTCGATGAAGTTATCTAATACACTGGCCTTCACAGGTAAAAAGCAATCAGCTAATTTACAGCATTTATTTTTCCATTGTTCCAAAGCACTGTATTTATCCATACGTGTGTACCAAGAAGCTAACCGAAGCTAAAGATGCAGCAGTGTTGGGACAGAAGGGTATTCAGAAGAAATTGAAAGCACAAACTTCCTCCATTTATCTTTCCCAACACTACACTTTGTCATATTTACATGGGAAAAACTCCACATATGTTCACAATGACTCTAGGATTTGTTACGCAGTTTACACAATGAGCTCAGGAATGCATTATCATTTGGTAGCCTTATAGAGGAAGAACTCGTAGGCACCCTGTGCAATAACTCTCTTGCTTTCCGCCAGAAAGCTGCCCAAACAAGCAATACCCAAAACATTACTACAAAGAAAACTAACGCCGTTTCTGGTACCACCCTTCAGAAACCCTGTTAAGAAAAAGATGAGACTTTGTGGGAACAAGTAACACCAGCTGCCTTCTGAGACTCAAAGTCGCTGCCAAACAAACATGAAAACATTAAGGCGGTGCATTTCACGCCACGCTGCCCCTCTGCTCAGGGCATTCACCAGATGGCTGGTTTTTGGATGGGGAGACCTTTTTCACTCCAATCGGCCTTCCTCTGTTTGTCCTGAGACATACTCTTCAACGTAGCACTTCGTGAATATTAGGTTGTTATCAAAGAATTGTTGCTATTTTCAGTGCACATTAACATCAGGAAAACCCCTTCGTATTCCTCGCAAAAATATACTGCAGTATTTTTCTACAGAGAAATTATGATCATCGTTACTTTTGGTAAAAAGAAAAAAAAGAGGAACACATATATTTTTCTAATTCAAAAAAACAAAGCAAAAATGTCCAAGTGGACACTTGCTCCCCATAGGCCATAACTGCTTAGATCTCCATTCTCTTTTATATACATGTATATAGATTTGCTATGTGTGTATATATATAGATATACATATGATGAAATTTACTTTTAACTCCACGCATCTCTCAGGTTTTTCTTTACAACCTGTATGAGAATGACTAAACATTATTAATCTAAAAAATTGTTTTCTAAAAACATACACGCATCAGTTTTTTTCTACCCACAACCTGGGTTATTTCAAAGTAACCGAGTGAATCAAATCAGAAACAATTTTGTTTTAGACTGTGCCCTGATAACCTAATGATTGTATTTCCAAATACACAATTCAGAATTAAAAATGTTTCAAAAATATACACGGCAGCTTTTTCATGGTGCTGAGTCTACAATTCAAACTTTGATGGATCTTAGTTTCAATAGGGGAGGACATTTCGTGTTTTGTTTTGTTTTTTTTCCTAAATAATCCTAGCAAAGACAAGTGCAGCAACCAGAGTGAAGTCAGTTGTGTGAAGGAGTTTGGGCCCAGGAACAGAAATGGACTTGTCCTTAACAACACAGTCGGCATGCTTGGAAGCTGATGCATTACAGGAAGGATGTTTTCTTCACAACAACTGCTGTATTACCAGACAGCACACTTGCATGATGCACGCAATTTTACTCTTTCTTATTTCAAAGTACTGCTGGGACAAATTTTGCCCTTGGATAAGCATGCTCAGGCCCCACTGAAGCCAGGCAGTGGAACTTACAGTCATGTTTCCGAGAGCAGAATTTGTACCCAGTGTTATAAAGAAAGAAAACTGTTTAGTGGATAAATAATGAAGAAAAGGAATTTACAAAACAAACAAGCAAGCATTAAAATATAATTAATTACAAAAAAATAAACAAAAACCAAAAAAAACCAGAGCCACTTACAGGGCTTGATGGAGTCTTTGGCCAGCCTGGGCTGCTAATGCTATCACTTTCATCTCCATGAAATGAGGAGATGCTAGCAGAGCTTGGGGACATTGGGGAAGGGACTGGCAGGTTGCCTGGGGTTGGGGGCTGAGAAATACCCTGAGAGCTGTAGCTATCCTGTGGTAGAGGAATAAAAAAAAATAATATGACAAAGGCAGGGCAAACTTTATTAAAAACAAAAAAAATAC